CGTTTATGCCCCCAACCACCCATAAAGGGTTACCCGGCCCCCAGTTTAATCAAGTTTGACACCCCTGCTCTACAGCCTATTGAATTTGATATGTACGTAAATTACATAGTCTGAATGTTAGAGAGGAACGACGGCCCAAAGTTTGTTAAGTAATTATTACTCGTGAGACAACACGTAAAGAGCCTATTTGTGTTCCCATGGAGAATAGAACACCTGCAACACGGTTTCAAATTCACTACATTTTCTTTGTGGTTTCTTACACTGATCTATATCCGCATAACGGCGAAAGGAAGTGACATAAAGCTCCGTCGGAATGGCAAGAGACTTGGGGAGTGTGATCAGGCGGGAGAAAAGGCACGCAGAGACGGAGGGAAACACTTCCTCTCTCAACACAGAATCGCTCCAACAAATTTGAAGCTCCATCTCTCCGGGGTTGTGGAGAACACTGAATCTCACTTGTTCTAGATGTGAATTTCGTTCCGGTATATATATATATATTTCTCCCTTCATGGGTAACCACTCCTGGGGAGTTTTCGGAGGAAGTAGACCAACCAAACGAAAGATATTGACTTGTAAGTGACAGAAAGTGTCCCTTTTGTTGTCTGCAGTACATCATTTCGCCATTTAAAAAATGAAATTAGCTGTCGTTCATTTAGGCATAGCGTGATGGATCCGGTCCCGTCCTCCAGTGTTATCGGTTGTCGCGGCGGAGTTAAGAAGAAAAGAAGCCGATTCGCAAAAGCCACAATATGAGAAGAAGAAAAAAAGGCAACAGCAAAATCTCCTCAGTGCTCATTTGCGACCAATCGGAATTCATTTTTCAATGATATGGTATCCTAGACTCGTCATTTTAACTTCGGGTTTAGAATCTATTTTTTCTTCAGTGAATGTTACCTCAAGAAGAGACGCCTCCCAACTCGGCACGAAACGACAGCAGAAATCGGGCAGCCCTTACCCCGATTCGTATTCCCTACTCTGTGCTGGGAAAGACCAGAGGTGGGATGGAAGACTTTCGGTCACCCCATGCTAGATGTCTCTCCTTGCTGGAAGCCGCATGATGTTGGAGAACCGAAGCGGCTCACGCACGACACAGTAGGCCTCTATCCAAGATTCAAGATAGTTAGTGATATCAAGAGGCGATTTCACCCATTTCGATATCACGTGTCGAGGTCGAGCGTTCCTTAATTTTAGGGTAGGCCTAACCCTCTTAAAGCTAAATATATATACTGTATATATATATTTTTTTGTTTGTTTGTTTTTTGCCTATCCTAGTTGCTTACTGTCTAGTACCTAACGTCAACATTGCCCCCACCGTTTTGCCTGCCCATGAAAGCATCCAGTTTCTTCTTAAAGATAGTCACAGCGCGGGGCAGTCACTACTTAGGCATCTAACGCATTCCACGCGTTCACCACTATCCCAGTCGTAAGATTAGCCGTAAACGGCTAATTGGAAGAGGATCACAAGCGACAACTGATGAGGTTTCGGACCGGGTAATCGTCTACGGTGTGACCCACCGCAGTATCTATGGTCTACAGTGTGACCCCCCTACTATATGCATCTAAGGTGTGACCCACTGCAAAATGTAGCTGTACTGTATAGCTGCATGGACAGCCCACGCTTTCAACCAATTGGGCGTCTACAGCCCGTTGCTAATTGGCTGATCATTGCAAAGACACACACCACACCNGACAACGCCAGAACTTCTACCCAGGTACCTCGTTGAGGCCTGGTGGCGGGGCCTCAACCCGCCTGCTGGAAGGTTTGAGGCCTACATTCAGGCGCTAAAAGACACTTTCTAGTGAGTGCCTTGAGAGTAAATTGATTGTATATTTGTATATATGAAAATGAAATTCACATTGTTTCAGTTTAAGTGAACAGCAGTTTAGTCTGCTCTAATAGGTGTGGGTCACACGTCAAACTGAGGTGGGTCACAAACCCATGTGGGTCACACCTTAGACCATTACCCCGGACCGTATCTTGCATTCTACACTACTGTCCTGCAAGAAGAGGAAAGGCATATTGTGCCGGATGAAAATCTCTTACAATCTCCATCTGTCCTTTTATTCGGACTAGGAGTGATATCTAGGGTCGTTTGACGGAAACCGTTTCATTCTCCCATCATTATTTCTCTTGTTGCCGGGAGAGACATCGAGAGAGCAACAAATCGAGAAGAGTTCCTCTTCCATTCTTCGTGCTCCACTGTTGCGACTCAGAGACATCTATCGTCGGATGTACGAACGTCTTCCATTCTGTCTCTCCCATCAGATAGTTCATCTTTTGCTCAAGGGAGACATCTAGTGTGGAGTGCATGAACCTCGTAGGAAAGATTCTCCTACCACAACCTAGGTGTCTCTCCAGGCTACAAGATAATGGGGAACGAGGATAGAAGACGTTCCTAAACTCGGTGGTTCCAATTGGAACCATTTGGCACGAAAGGGTTAAGGAACGATCCGGATTCCAGTATTCGCCGATGGTGAGAATGCCATCCGGAATCGGGATGAGACTCTCGTTGTCGCGTACCTTTGCGCCACACGACAGACTGCGTAGATTCCGAAACGAAACGACGGTGTCGTGCAAGCGGTCCCGATATGCATGCACGTCACGTTAACATTCGCTTCCGGCGGAATTCCGAATAAAATTTGCCTCCGCATTCCACTTCCCGTCGTAGTCGATCGGAGATGAAATTTCCATGGCGTCGGAGTAACAACACGGCGAAAGGAGAGCCTTCCGACTCGGGCAGTCGTTTTCGGCGACTTACGATCGGAAATCTATTCAACTATTTATTTCGTCCTCAGTCAGGACAGTGCATTGGCATTGGCAGAAAATGGAGAATGGGAGATTAAGTCATCGGGGAAAGGAGCATTGTGGTCTGGACCGCTGGTTCACTCAGATGTGGGGGTCAGCAGCTTTTGTAGTGTGAAGAGGAGGCTGGAGTCTCCTTTTGCAGGGCAATGCATCAGGTGGTAGCGGTGACCTGCAGAAATCTCGCAGAGGCGGCTGACGTAGTTGGGTTTAGGGTCGGGGAGTTCTCTACGGGAGCATATTATCAAAATACATAGTGAAATCCGTGGCTGGTGAATCTCGTTGTGAGATGACAGTTAATTCGATTCGATTCTTTCGAGAAGCGACAGGTGAAAGCCGGACCTTCTGGGAAATTTTCAACAACGAACTTTCAACGCCTTTCGTTGACCTCGGCTTCATATTCTGTCCACACACGCCCCTCGAATGGAAAGCGGTCGGTCGTTTTGAGTTCTTCACAGAGGGTGGGAGTGGCAATCGTTTGGTGCTCCAGGTTGGCAGAGGTGTTACGAGAGAGGCAGAGTGTCTTTTTCAGGAAGGCACTATTCACTCTGCCCAATTCCATAAGGTGTCGCAGTTTCAGATAGGGGCGACTACCTCTCGTCCATAAGTGAGTAGGGGAGTTAGCTTGATGGTGAACAACTTTAATGCGGTCTCGATCTTCAGCAAGTGAATGTTGGTGAGAGTGCCGATTATTCTCAACGCCGACTCCTTCTTCGTCTCTTCATGGTTTGTGAAGGTTAGCGTTGTCTGAAGGGTGACACTCAGGTATTCATACGCTCTCTTCCAGCCGATGTGGTCATTGCCAAAAGTGAACGGTACATCGGCCTTGGAGAGACGCCCCCCCTTTCCGGAATTTTATTGCCTTAGTTTTGGTCGGATTCATAGTCAATTTGTTAACATCAGTCCAGATCATGAGTGCATCGATGCTCTTCTGCAGCTCCGCCCGGTTCGTGGAAAGCATGGCAAGGTCGTCTGCATACATTATGACGTGGATCGATGAGGCTGCTTGTTTCAGGGCTACTGGGAAGTCGCTAGCAAATATCAGGAATAGGGAAGGACTTCGGCAATCGCCTTGAAGTACGCCCTGCGTTTAGGGAGTTACCTTGGAAGTTGTCAGGCCATCGTCGACCTTTACGTAGTTTTTCCGCAGGACGTCATGGATGAGTCTGCGGATGCGTCCTTTGATTCCCCTACATTCTAGCTTGTCGGCGAGAATGCTTCTGTCGCCTGTGTCAAAGGCCTTCCGAAAATCGAGGAAGACAGCATAGAGTGATCCTGTGGTCTTACTGAGCCGGTTCGCAATGGCGTCAATGAGTAATCTTATCGGCTGGATGGTTGAATGGCCACTCCCGAAATCATATTGTTCCGGGGGGGAATTCGATGCGATGTATTATGCGGTTATTAATAATTCCTGTCAAGAGCTTGAATGGTGTTGATAATGGGGCTATTCCGCAGTAGCTGTCAGGATCGGCGATCCTCCCTTTCCCTTTATATAGAGTTTTTAGCCGTGAGATACGCCAGCTTTCAGGGAGGGAAGTTGATGCCAAGATGTGATGGTAGACGTTCGACCACGCCTCTGATAGGATGTGGATCTAGCCTTTCAGTCCTTCAGTCGTGATGAAGTCGGGCCCAGGTGCTTTCCCGTCGGGCATCTGTTGAAGCATGCACAGGATTTCCATATTCAGAGAATGGTTGGTTGTACCATGCACTGAGGTCAAGGTTTCCAGGGGCATGGATCGGTCGTGCATCTGTATGAGGGTTCAGGGTGTGCGTCAAATGGTCGATCGAGTGGGAAATCTGCTCCTGCGATTAGGCAAGAAAGGGGCATTTTCACATTCAGGCTTTCGGCTCCCTGTCGCAACGAACGATTCCGGTTCTTGCGACGCCAGGAGTCGAGCCAACAGCGTCTTTCGAGTTCGCGGACTAAAGGATCTGCCTCGCGGATCCCTCGATTCATTACATCGAGTGTCGGCATTCACCCTCCGTCGGATCTCGAGGCCAGAGCGAGGCATGCGAAGGGCTGCCTCGGAATGCGTAACGCGATCGGGTATCGTGATCGGGTACCCTGTCATCTAGTCGCAAGCGCAGGTACTTGGATTCCGCAACCGTCCGCCAGGTGTCAGGAGGGAGCAAGGTGATTCCCCACGCGTGGGGTTAGGTGAATATCGGTGGCGGCAGTTCTCCCCCGGTCCTCAGTCACGAGTGAGACTCGTCGTCGTTCCGTACTCGACTCCTTTTCTCTCGTCTTCCAGCATTCACGAGTCGATGGCGTGCGGAATCGTGCGGTGAAGAGGTTTCGACCGCGTCCGCGACGTTCGTCCTGCTCGGAGATAGGTAAGTCTCCATCTGTTTGCGTTTCGTCGAGACGTCTCATCGCGACCGGCCTTCCCGTTTGGCTCGAGCGGTAAACAGCTTCGAGTCCCTCTCCTTCGATCGAATCCATGCGATCGTATCGATCACGCGATTGTTTCGCGTATTCTTTCGCGTATTCTTTCGCGTATTCTTTCGCGTATTCTTTCGCGTATTCTTTCGCGTATTCTTTCGCGTATTCTTTCGCGTATTCTTTCGCGTATTCTTTCGGTTACGTACGCGTCGAGGAACTTAATTGTTGTGTTATTTCATTTCCGGCACGGTAAACACAGTCTTGTTTACCATTAAATCGCGTTATTTCATTTCCGGCACAGTAAACAGTCTTGTTTACCTGTAAATCGCGTCATCGTTTTCAGAAATAGGCTCCGAAATGTTATCTTCCTTGCAATGCATTGAGTAATCTAAATACTGCCCATTTTAGAGATACAAATTGCTTCAAGCATTGCCTTATTTCCATTCGTCATCGATCGACCTAAATATTTGATCGGTGCACTCGATGCACGGCACGACTCACATGTTCATTCGAGGATCATAACGATGCTATGATTGACGAGAGGCTCTGCATGACTCATGCATTCTGGAGTAGGTGGGCGTTGCCATGGAAACGGAGTGTTGTGTGGCCGATATACCCATGTTGCGAACATGCTTTCCTCGAGAAAGTGGGTCACCGCGACGAGATGAATTTTTAAAAAAGGAACAAAATGAAGGCATTCGCATGCGTTCACGGTCCAATTAACGACACGGAGTCTTTCTCGACGACGGGACCGAGGCGAACGATAGGAATTTCGTGTCACGCCCAGCAAATCATGCGTGCGTAGAAGAGATTTTTTTCTTCCTTTTCTTCCCTGCATATTACATCGGGAATCGCGAAGCATAGCCGTGAAATGAAAAAAAAGTGGCTGTTCCGTGCTTCCGGTGAGCCGCACCTGCCGACCGTCGTCGTTCCCCCCATCTGTCCTATCCCCCCCCGCCCCCACTTTCCTCCATCTGTCCTTCCTCCACCCCACCTTCCGGCCGACGGTTGAAAACGACGGATCCGTGCGCCGCCCTCCCCCTATCCTCCCTAGGTCCTCCCCTGGTCCTCTCCATCCGATTGCGAGAATCGAAAAGAAAACTTCCCGGATGAGACTGAACCGTTTTTTCGCTCTTAGAAGTGATTTCACGAGACCTTTTCCCCGACGCCGCGAGAAAAATAAATAGGATGAATGAAAACGCGAGAAGAGTCATGGGGAGACGGAGGAAGACCGGACGAGACCGGACACCAGCCGTGCCATCACCAGCTTGCAGCGGCCGTCGCATTCATCACGGCCGATATCCGATTCCTTTCATACGAGAAGGCGGAAATGAATTTCCCCGGTCTGCTCGTCGACGTCTCTTTTGCACCATTCCCGAAGATGAACTGCTGAGAGGAGCAGTTCGAATACGATACCGCCTTTTTTTTCTCCCCCACGGATTCCCCGTGTCCCGTGCGATTTAAAGCGGGGGTCACGAACGTGCACCCCCCAACGATCGCGTGGACCCCCGGGTCATTCCCCCTAAAGGATCATTCCCCCTCTCGATTCCGAGCGGTGACGGAAACGATTCTCGTTGTTCTGGGGCCGTTTCCTTTTCACCCCGACTCCCAAACGCAGACACGGTCACTGGACTCGAAGGACTCTCCATCGTTTTTCTCGTCCCGTTTCTGAATTTGCGATCGTTTGCTTCCATGCGGTGATCGCTCGTACCGTCGTTTAAATGAATCATTCTTCTATCGTTTCGCTCGACTCGAAGCATCAGCATCTGTGAACTCCCGCTTCTCATTGGAAACGATCGGAGATCGCATCTTCGCCTTCTTCACGCTTCTTCTTCATGCTCTTTGTTTTTGCACGGGGAGCAAGATTCTTCGTTAATGCGTGAGTCACGTTTAGAGATTTGCATCTTCGATCGTACGGAACGCGACGCGAGCTTTCCGCTTCCCGCTTCGACGAGTCTCTTTTCATGCATTCGTCGAAGTTTGCACGGACGTCTTCGATGCACCGTAACCGGTTAAAATCTTGGACGAGTTCGGTCGTCTGTTTCCTCGTGAATGGCTTTTCGCTGCCGACCGAAATCACCGTTTCCCGCAGGGTCTTTCCGTCCGGACGCGAAATGGACGACGCGTTCCAGATCGGACGCATTTTCCATTCCTAACGATCATTCTTTTCCGGTCGGACGGTGGGAAACGATGGGGGTCTCGTTAGTCGGTATGCCGGGCACGCCGCACGAGCGGACGAGGACGGACCTCAGTTTCCATCGACCCTCGTCGTGCGCGTATAAACGAAGTTTCGCGTCCGCGTGGGGACGGCGAAGAGGACGGAGACGCGAAACGTCCGGGTTCTGCGGAGTCGTCTTCGCTTCGGCACCCGAGCGATCCGACTACCTCCGAGGATCGATTTCGTTTCGTGGTTTCGCCTCTCTTTTTTTTCTCGATTCGTTCGGCGAGGGACCAGACGTCCGCGAGGACAGAGACGGATCGCTCCGACGCTCCCTGTACCCGATCGGGGATCGAGTGGAGCGGGACGATTAGGGTAGAAAGGGCCGAGTGAGCATCGTGCGATGGACTGGAAGATGCTTGATCGATGACCGTCGATGCCCGCAGAGAAGGGGTGTAGCCGGGTCTCTCACGTGCATCTCGAGGGCGGGGTCCCTTCATCCACCCGAGTTTTCTTTATTTCCTTTTTTTTTCCGTCTTCCGCCCTTCACGTTCTGTTAAGAGAGCGGAACTCGTTCCCGCTCCACCGCATTCCCCGGACGGGAAGGAAAGGAAAAAGAAGGTCATTCGTACCGTGCTATCGCTCGTACGCATGGGGATTCGGGACCGGCCCCCCGAGTCCCATCCCCAATAAACTTATTATAGTCAGTCGAAGTGCGTGCCACGTGCCTTCGGGCACGAGGCGAAGAAGCCGAGTCGAAGTGCGACCGGCCTGTTCACGGAAGCAGTTCCGTTGCGACGTCGTTCGATTCCCCCGTCGTCCTTTGCCTCGACTCCACGATCGCAAGATCCACGACGAGAGTCGTCGATGAGATTCTCATTCTGCCTCGTGCTCATCGCACTTTCATCACGAATAATGCCATCGAAAATTTTAGATATGCGGATAGAAGTCGTCCCCTGTCGAGTGATACGACAGATACGACAGATATTCGTGACAGATAGGATAACTTGGGGGTAATATGGCCCTTCATAATGAATCCCCTAACAGATTTAAGAATTAGGTTGGGCGAATTTTGAAATTAGTTCTATCGTAGAGTACATGCAATTGTTGAAATGTTGACTAGTTCATTAATCCAATTCTCACAGGAATTCGGGATACATCCATGTTTTGAAAGTCATATGCATGCGATTCTTCAACTCATGACCTTGAAACTATATGAGCATTGTATAACTTAAGCGAGTATTTCCTAATAGCAGCATGGATACAGAAATCATTTGTTCGAAGTTATTCCGTGGTCCCTCCAGAATGCTCGTGGATTGTGCTAGCCCCTTCCCTTGCGGTTTGCAGGAGGTCATCTCAGTTTTGTCATGCAAGTCAATATGGAGGAATATGGTCATCTCGTTTTGGGGAAATATGGACGCATCCTTCATTTCGTGGTAGCACCGGACTAACCTATTGGCAGTGTCAGCTTCCATTCGTGTGGGGCCTCAGACAGCAAAAGATGATCCTATGCACATCCTCTGAATATACGGAAAGCCGTAAAAATTCGACCTTGATGTGCCTTTAAGACCAGGTTTCATTTTTTAGGGTCGTATTCCCCCAAATTACCCTATAGGAAACGGACTATAATTCGGGTCATCATTGCAAGTCACGAAGAGAGACTGAAGAAAAATTCCAATCGTGTCGATTTGCTTTTCTTGAACACCTCAAAAGGCTTCATTCATGCTAGCTGTCGTTGTCGAATGCTCCCTGTGATAACAGGATTCTGCAAATTCATCGTTAAAATGGATTTGGTACTTCGTCAAAAACGAAAACGGATGGACGTGCAGAGTAGAACGAAGCATCGAAACACCGACGATTTGCGTATGCGTGTCCTCTGCCCCCCATTTGAGTGGAAACGGATGAACCTTCTCGTTCCGTGATCGCTCAACCATCTTTTTCTCGGAGGTCGTAATGTGTCGGCGAAGAGTAAATATTGCCAGCCGACGATCGTTAATTGATCATCGCACGGTGATAGCGAGAACCATGGCCCTACGTCGTCGCTCCACCCATTCTCGAGGCACCATTTTGGAGTCGTCCTTTTGCACCCCTTAGGAGAGGACACAGCGACCTTGGCATGATCGATGTGTCGCACGTGGCACTAGGAGGACCGAGCCGATGAGATTCCACGCAAAAGACGAGGAGGCCATTGGAAGCTCAGCGGTGTGACCGAAGGCAACGAGAAAACCTTCGCGTTAAGCCTCATGTGCACTGCTCATTTTGAGAGTAAAAAAATCCAGATACTTGCACTAGGGGCCAGAAATGAGCCCCAGCGATGGACTTTCTCACGACGCGAGAAAGCCGATCGGACAGGTGATGTATAAGTGATGTAGGAAGCCTCCATCATCCATCAGGGATTCCGAAAGAGTGGGAAACTTCCATCGGGGATCTCATTCCCATCACGATTTTTATTTTTATTTTTTTTCAGAAAATTTTAGTGGGTCATACTGGGCAGCCGGTGAGATGGAAGAGAATGGATAAGGATGATCCCTTCCGGTCGCCATCAATCCTTCCGGCCTTCCTCCTCCTCTGTCTTCTCCCAGCTTCCTTCCATCAGCCCGTCTCAGCCAAGACCGAGCAAGGTGAGACGCGCGTTTCCCCTCCTTTAGCGTCGCAACGAAGGAGCGGAAGGGCGGAGGCAATCCGAGGCAATTAAGCGTCTGTCTCGAGTGCGTCCGAGTCGCGTTTCGGCCCATATCACCGCGAGGTTTTCGTAACGGAAACGCAGCGACCGCATCGTCGTGATGCAACGCGACGCAGCAGGGATCCGAAATGGATCCACCGCCGTCTTCGTCCCCGTCCGAGGAGGACGAGGGAATCGCGTGGCCGAATGTCATTTTCTCTCGTTCCGTCGGTGCCTCTGCGGGCGATCGCGTGAGAGCATGGAATCTCGTCACCGAGCGGTCGGTCCCCGGTCGAACGTCGGAGTGCTTCTTTTACGCCGAGATTCGTCGGAATCCGGTCGAGGCAGAGCCGAAGTCGGCTGCAAATCTCGACAAAACGAAAGCGCGGTCGAAAGCACGACTGCGAGTTCTCGCGACGGAAGATGACGCTTCGAATCGAAGACTGCTCGTAGATTATGGCCAGATTCGTGACGGAACCGGACCGATCGTCGTCGTCGTACTACTTTCCCGCAAGCCGCAATCGGAAGCCCGAGGTTTTACTCGCCTGTGCCTACACGAGCTATGACTTTCGTACGACCGAGATTTACGAGCGGACGAGTACCGATCGTACGAGCTCACGGCTCGTACGGGAACTCGGATGCGAGCAAAATCGTAGCACCTATTTGCGGTTTTACGTACCGTCTCCGCGAGAAAGCACGGAGCGGCGCTGCCCGTCCGGCCGCACGCGGAATCGCCGAATCCAAGCCCAAGGAGTCATTCGTAGAGGGTCGTCATCGACGGAGACCGTCGCGATATGGATCTTTCCGACGCGACCGATCGATCGAGGACGAGCTCGGAAGTGCCTCCGAAGAACGACATCGGCAACGAGTTCCCGCCGAAGAACGGAAGACGTAAAGTGTTTTTTTCCTCCTCTCCCGATGGCCGCTTTTACACGCGACGCTCTCGCATCTTTCGATCGACGAGCATCCGCTTCCTCGACGCGATCCGTACCGACGGCGCGATGACTCCACTCGTCGACGTCCGCTTTTAGTACGTTCCGCTCGTTCGTTTGTGGCTTAGGAACGCAGCACGCTCGCGAGGAACCCGACGTCTGGAAGAGGTACTCTTCGAAACGCGTACGAAAAGTCGGATCGAAAGAAAGGAAATCGCGGCGTCCGATCGCGCCTTCGTTCGGCCTCGTCCCTAGGTCCGTGGGGTTCCTCCGCTCGGGTTTGAGCGCCTCTGAAACGGGACGTGATCTCGGGGGAGCCCGGGACGGGGTCGTCCGGGATGGGGTCGTCGTCCTGCGATCTGCATCCCGAGCGAAGAAGACTCTCTGCGTGCATCGGTGATTCGGCTCGGCTCGGTACTCGACCGAGAAGGGAGTCGGATCTCGATCGCAGCGTACGAGTCGGTTCACAAATCCGTGGCCGACCCGGGCTGCTTCGGCCCGGATCGAGTCCGGAGGTCTCAATTTTTCGTCGGTCGATCGGCTCCGACTCTACCGGGAACTCCCCGAGCGGATTCTTTCCCGTCCGGAAACCGTTCCCGTGCGAGATCTTAACGAATCCTCTTAGAGATCGTAATCGTCCCCGAAACGTGATTTCGCTTCTTCCGTACTTCCGTGGAAGTACGGAATCCCCTTTCCATCGAGACGTGATGCATGAAGAAGAGCACTCGGACCATCCTACGATGGCGTGTCTCCGCCATCTAGCGAGGACGAAATCGCGCCTTCACACCCTCCCGCGTCTCCTGCATTCTTCCGAAAGCTCTCGAGAAGTTTTCCGATATGAATGCCGTCTAGTAAGGTCTCGGAAATGCAAAATGCGTATCGAATATCTTTTTTTCACCGTCGAGTCTTTTCGCGACGACGTGCGGAATCCCCACGACCGACACGCGAAACGAGGATCGTTAAACGACGAAACGGTAACGTGTCTGTTCGTCGAGTATCGACGAATGAGGCAACCCGTGTTTGCTGCGTAGGCCTTTAAAATGAACATTTTCTCGAACACGTTCAGGTGATCGTAGTTAGGCAGACGTTAGGCTCGTGCCGCAGGTTGGAGAATCGTATTTTTTGCGTCTGCTTACCTACGATCGCTTACCGACTTGGAAATTCCAAAATCTTCCGTCTACTGCAAATCTGGAAAGCCTAGTGGAGAAAGGTGCCGGAGTTCATTTTCATATATCAGCCTCGAAGATGATTTTCTTCAACCATTTCCCATTCACTGCCGAGAGAAGGCAGAAGGCCCTAAAAAAGAAAAACTAATAAACCCCGTGAAGTAAATGCTTTATTTGTCGCAAAACGGTAAAATACGATTCCAAGTTACTTCAGGCGGTACTGCAATCTAAAATGGCTGCAATACGCGTATGTGAAATCGGGAAAGGAAGGATCTTCGGCATCGGATGTCTTGGGGACTAGCATAAGGGAAAAGTCCGTGCTCGCTCCTTTCTTCTATGTCCACACCTCTCTTAATATGACGGAAAAAATATTTTTAAAATGCTGGACGAGCTCTAACTAGGCGTGGGCTTCCTTTCATGGACTGTTGGAGTAGGAGGAAGATGCTGCAGGAGAGTATCACATGCAGCCCTGCCACAAATAGTATTGCGAGAATCCAGCTAGAAGAAGCATGTCTCCGCTCTCACGTAGAATGAGCTCACCTCGAGCGACACGACACCCCTATTGGCTGTATCTCGCTTTTTCTTGCCCTACATTCTTGTTAGAAACTAAAATTTGCCATCGTAACCCTGAAAGCGACGGACGGCATTCGGGATTAAATTGGCAAATTTTAGTATTTTTCGATGCAGGCTATAAAAAGTGACACACTGGGAGTGACACATCACTCGAGGTCAGGTGAGCCTGCTGCCTTTCTCTCGGTTTGTCAGCAATGGATCTGTCAGATACGAAGGCCGATGGGGAAGTAGGAGCTCTGGTTGGAGACATGACACTCCGTTCCGGGCCGAGCGATGCGCATGCGCCGTAAGATCGAGATCCGGTGAGGTTCACTGTAGCATAGGTTTATGCCTTTCTCGCTGTAAAAAAATGTCAACAATTCAAAATTTTCTATTACTTTTCTTTTCTGTGCGAACTTAGCCTGGATTTCGTTCATATCTATCTGCATACCAATTTTCAGAGTCATCGGGCCGAAATTCTTTCGGTCATCGTCTGACACCTTAGAGTGAAAGAGACCCAGACAGGACGGGACGTGGTCTCTTTCCTTTCCTGAAAGGAAAGAAACCGCTTACAGTGCAGGAAAAAAAAAGGCAGAACGAAGAGAACCCTCTTGCGGTGGAAGTGGATGGGAAGTCTTGCTTCATTATCATATCGCCTTTCTTTGTCACCTTTCTTCCATTCTTCCTTTCTTTCCTCCTTTCTTTGTAGTTTCTTTTTTCCTCGTCGCTCGACAAAGACCAACTCTGATCCCCTGAAAGCATTTGATGTCAGTACGAAATGCTCGTACGGGTTCTCGCGTATCTCATGCCCGTCGATTCCACCACTCTTACAACTTAGCAAATTGGTCTCAGTTTCCTCGTCTTGTGGCTTCTGAAACCCGTCTGTTGATGTTAATATCGAGTAGTCGTTCACCAATGCGGATCTGATCGAAGCGGCGCGTTTTTCCCCCCCGCCGCTTTCGATGGAAGAAACGACTTTTTCCTGTCTGTTTTCCCATGGACTCGCGTGAAAGAGTTTCTTCGCTGCGGTCGGGTAAAGTCCTGCACGACATGGATTGCAGGACATGGAGATTCGCTCCGCTTCGTCGTGCGGGTAAAAAACCGTGCCGACGAGAATCACACCGATTCGATCCGACACGACCCGACCGGTGTCGGTGTGCGAATGCGTTAACGTCGCGTGTTCGCACGAGTTCGACCACGGTCGAAAGGAGATGGATCCGATTCGGATCCGGAACGAATGGTGTGTCGAGGCATCTCGGGCTTACACTCGTAAAAACGTAACTTTTGCGTGACTTTACTGAGCACGTTACTCTCGCATTTAAACATTTTTACATTACAAACATTTAGACATTTGAATTCAACAGGCTGGCCTATAGAGGTAACATAGTCTAAGAAGTCTCCAAAAAAGCTCTGGCATGGAGCTTGTTAGAAGGATGGTTCAACTAACAAGGTGACTCCATGGGAAAATTTCATATTTAATGGAAGTTTCCATTTTCCAACTCTACTGCAAATCAGGAAGAGGGAAGGAACTAATACTTGCTAGATATTTCAGGAATACATCTATTGCTGTGCGTGGTTTTTAAATCGCTCGAAGAGAGAATAGCATCGTCAATGGTGGAAGGTAAAAATCCCTATCTCCCCAGAACGTTCATGGAACGAGGGCAATATTTCAAATAAAAGTTTAATTCCATATTCATTAAAGGATCCGGTGTTACCTGAACTCCCATAACTTCTGGGAATGATTCGAAATATCTAAATGTGACAAAAATATCAAAGATAACTTTTCATAGACATAACTTTTGGATAAACTTCACTCTGTTACGTTAGAAGTAGCTTTGATGTAAGGGGTAAAAAATTGTTTGTTTTCTAACCTTTAGTACTGGTTACTCAAAGGTTACATGTTTAACCCTTTGACTGTTATAACAGGGGGGATGGCTGATACGTTTTCGTATAAAAGTTGGTCCTGCTTGTCTAAAAATAATAGTTTATGTAAGATCGTGATAATTATTGAAGATTGCAGTTACATGCATGAATAGCTGTGAAATAACCTAGAAACATTGAATGTTCTGAGCCCGAGAACATACCCATGCTACCACTACACAAGCCCGAGTATGTACTCGGGCAAACAGCCAAAGGGTTAAGAGTGTACGGACGGGACCGGGAGCAGAAGAAAAGGAAGGCCCAGACTTCATACGGAAAGAAGAGTCATTTGCCGTCTCGAAGCCGAAGGAAACGAGATCCCACGATCCACGGTCGTCCTCATCTCGTCCGGTGCCACGGATCCTTGGATTCGGGCCGACCCGATCCCACGCACGTGTTGCGGCCGTGCAGAGCAACAGGAACCGCTCGGAATCCACTCGGAAGAGTGGATTTAAAATGCTAGGAAACGATGGTCTCAGGCATCGAAAGAGATTCTCGACGCGATTTCATGTACCGACGTGAATCATATCATAACAGGAACTTCCTACTGCGACGGAACGGTTGAAAATATTCGGGTCGATCGACGAGTGCAGGAATGAGGCCACGAGAGATGAGCTGATGCCGCAGAAGAGCGTGTTACGATGTTCGGTTTCTCGTTTGGCCTTAGCTATTCGTATCGCGTGGGGAAAAATCGGCAGAGACGGCGACGAAAAGAACGCAACGAGACGAAACGAGTGCATTCGTTCGTGTTTCCCGTTTGGTTTCCCGCACGTGCCACCCGAGATGAATAAATCCTCGGGGTTCTGTTTGTTCCCCGATCCGTTCCGCCAGACGGTCGATGCTACCTGAGCACGGGAGGAGGGAGCGTGACGCTCCTGGTGCAGGAGAGCGTGGAACCCGGGCAGGAGGTAGGGAGCGTGGACGTCGTGGGGGAGCCCGATCGAGACATCCGGCTTTCGCTCATCCAAGGCCAGGAGCACGTGGACATCGTCCCCGGCACCAAGATCCTCCGTCTCAAGCATCCACTCGATAGAGAGGTACGAGTATATTCTCTTTCTTTTTTTTTTTTTATCTCTCCAGTTTTCTGAATGTTTTTGAATCGGTGGGTGAACCTTCCGTATTCGATTGTCCTGCAGTCGATATCCATTAGTATACATATAGAGTAGCGTTCCTCAAACTTTATGCACCTGCGGACCCCTTTCAGAATTAAGCAGAACTTCGCGTCCTCCCTTTTCCCTTCACTATCGTATGAAGTTTCTAACTACCGAAGCGAATGATTCAGGTAATAAAATGGCTAAAATACACCCTAAGAACCTAAAATTCCTGCCCAACCTGCCCAAGACGTTTCCCGATCCCAAGTTATTGCTTCACGAGAGGAAAGGAGTTAAAGAGATTTTTTCTATTCTCATCTCGATTGCGGGACGACTCATCAAAATATTCAAAATCATGCTTCATCTTAGTTTCTTTTTTGCGATTGTAAGCTATTGTAACTCGAGGAAGAGGATTCGGCGTCTTTTTTCTCATATGGTATGGTGCTATGAGAGAAATTATGGCTTTCCGTGTTGCTTCTTTCTGCATCCTTGTCAGCTGCAAATCCGCTAAGCCCGGTCACCCACGAGCATTTTCCCCCCAAAGTGCATGACTTCGTAGAACTGTGAACGGTCATCGGACGATATTTTCCCCGAGCTTCTCCCCTGATGTTGTGTTTGTGAGCGATATGCGATAGTGAGTTTATCGTCATCGAAACTCTCCGATGTCAAATGTTAATCGGAGGCAGAAAGCTATCTCGAACACGAACCCGTGGAAGGAGTGGTTTCGTGGAGCAGCAAATGGGGATTTAAAAATATACAAGAGAAAAATAAGCTCGAACGTCTTCGCCGAGTCGATTCGTGGCCTTTCTGAGCGTTGGCTTACTTAGTGCTACGTGGAATTTGACGGATTTTGTCGCAGGGAGAAGAGGGTCCCCCCTCGTTGAACCTCGGAGTGGAATGCGTTCGCATCGGTACAAATTATCCCGTGAGTTTCTCTCCGGTGGATTCTCGTCCCGTCGCGGTTGCAGGGTCTGAAAGACCGGATGGGTTCCAGGCGGTGGTGATCCCCGTGTACGTGAAGGTGCTGGACGACAACGACAACGCCCCCGAGTTCGTCGGAGCCCCCTACACCGTCAACGTCTCGGAGGTGAGAATTCGCGATTTCCTCTTCTTCTCCGATCGCAGGAACGTGACGTTCGGGTGATTCTTTCGCAGTTGACGGTTCCGGGGTCGACGATCCTGACGGTTCGAAGCCGCGATAAGGACCAGGACGGCCCTCACAGTACCGTACAGTACGCCATCGTCCAGGGTCTTCATTCCGTGAGTTCCATCGACGGATGTTTTCGTCGGCGAACGAGCCTAAATACATCGAGAAGGAAATGAAATATCGTCCGGTCTTCGGATCGACCGATAACATCTAATTTGTTAGATGGATCACGGTTTTGCCTACGTTGGCCTAAATACCGTAAAGTAAATTCCCTTCGCCTGCCTCGTATGATATGGAACGGGAAGAAACTGGTTTCGATTCACGGGTTCGGATTAAGGGCACGAAGGTGCTGAAATTTCTGGAATGAATCCGGAATCCACGGACGGACGACTTTGTCGCGTCCATCGTAGGGTTCCGGAAAGTCGTAGAAATCTGACGAAGGCGATTCCCGTCGAAGGACCTGGTGGAGTTCGTGCCGGGCCCGTCGGGTGGGCTCCGTCTCCGAGAGCGGTTGGACCACGAGAAACTGAGCCGGTTCACGGTCGGGATCCGGGCGCTGGACCAGGGTCAGCCGGTCCGGCACTCGGAGTCCAGCATCACGGTCATCGTCCTCGACGGCGACGACCAGAACCCCAAGTTCCACCATCCCAAGTACACTGCCAAGCTGCCTGAACCCCCCAAAAAGGTGAGTAGTTTCAGTATTTCTATCGCTTTATTTTTTAATTTAAAAAACTAGGTCTCTAGTCAGAGGTCGGCTCCACCTGGGTTCGAATCTGCGACGCCAACGCATAGCAGATTACGAACCCAACACTCAAACCACTAGACCACCCCACCCGCTCAGAAAAGTGGGTTTGGTAGGTCTGTAATTGAATGCGAGCTCGCAATCCACACGGTTTGAGCCCCTTCCCAAGATCTACAATGGGACCATAGCCTTTTTCCAACTGACTCGACCTCCCAGACTCGGACTTTGTAGCGGTAATATCCGCCATTTATTTTTAAGGTGGAAGGATATGGTATGGGTAAATCGATCCACGGCGTAATTATATCTAAGGGTGCCGAGAGATGTTCACAAGGGATCCTCAAGAGGTCAGGTTTTAAGTCCCGGTTAAGTCCCGATTCGGTCTCTGACGTCATGGAGGCGCTCCCTTCGCGTCAACAATTATTATCAATATTTCCAAAAGTCTCTTAATCTTTGTTTGCGTGAAGGGAGGATCTGAATGTTGCCATTTCCTCAAAATTTTAGACAATCTATGTATATAAACATGTAGGTATTTAGAAGGAGACGTAGGATTTCCCAGATGGTTATGCGTTCCTATCGAGAGAGATTGAGTGCAAAAAAGAATAACACGATCTGATCCGTAGGAAAGGTGTGAGAATGAGGATAACCTTGAAAAGGATCAGCTATAATAGAAAGGAAGAAAGGGGGAAGGATGGTTTCCTCTTTTGAATGGGTCTTCCAAAACGCCCCAGAAACTAGGAATAGTTGAAAGTTGAAATCTTGCAGAATGGGAGATCTGGTTGTGGAAACTCTTATTTTCTCGGTTACAAACCGAGAAAATAAGAGTTTCGTCGAGCAGTGTTCGTTGGTTTAAGTCAAAACAACTGCTGATTCTTAGGGTGGATTTTTGAACAGAGAACTATCCGATAATGCAGTTTTATTCCAGGGAAAATACATGATATTTCCTGGAAATAAAGCAGCATTATCGGATAGCTCTCTGTTCAAAAATCCACCCTTATTCTTTTAAAGTAGGATTTGCTGTTGCAAATATTTGTTTCGGCATGTAGGGAAGTCGCGCGACGAAATTTGCATAGACAGAGACAGTATGGGAAAGTCTGGGCATCGTTAAAAAATACTCAAGATGAAGCTTGAGTAATGTTTAAGTGTAGAAGAACGACTAGGAATGCCATGGAGAGTCGAGTGGCACGACTGCTGATCGACCGCTTCGCGAATGCCTCCCCAACCCCTTCATCTGAGTGACGATCAATCTCCTACTGCCTCCCTATCGTATCCAGGAACATATTTTTAGCTATTTCTTTCACTCTCTAACGTCCTCTTCTTTTTCTCACCTACATACATTTTTTTTTAGGCTTTGGTTTATAGGAGCCAACGACCTCGTCATACCTAACAAGGTTACTTTCGACTGAATGCTCTTCGGTTTTTCGATCAACAAGGACCGTCGGGTATCGTTGTTATCGGGTAATGGCATTGTTATTACTATAACATTGTATTTTAACTTGTAAAAATAATTTTACAAGTACGTATTACGTACAAAAAAGCAGCGGGGGTGCAACGGTGGCAACAACATGGAGCGATCAGTAACAGTATCTCTTGTTGTAAGTATTATATTCCTTCGCATGCAACCATTGAGCTGTAGATATTAAATATGATAAAAATAAAAACTTTCTTCAGACTTCGTCGCGTTTAAGTTTAACTTGTGCGAAGTGCAATTGTGTTGAAACTCGTTCTTTTCCTACGGTGGCAGGGGCTGCTGCTAGCAGTGGAGCCTCGAGGGATCAGCGCGTACGACCAGGACGTCGGACTCAACGTGCCGCTGCTCTACTCACTCGATGCAGGTCTTTCACTCTTTCTGTTCGCTTTCGCTCCGTCTGTGGCGTGGATGCGTGAACGTGTTGTCGTGCGGTGCAGACGAGGAGGAGTCCAAGTACTTTTGGATGGACCCGTACACGGGGAAGGTACGAGTGAAAGAGGACATCCCGGATTCCGCCCTTCGGCAGCCCCTCACTCTTCTCATTAAGGTTCATTTTCCGTCTCTCGCCTGTTAAACGCGAGGTCGAGGCCTTTGGCTTCGCGAGAGTCACCGAGCTGACCCTGCTTCCGTTTCATGCTTATTGCTTCGGACGTCAGTGTATCATGTAGTCGAGTGAGATCATTGTGATCAGTTTGAAGACGTGAGACTCAAAACGGAAAACGTTTAGAAGGAACTCCTAATTTCAGAAAGCGAATAACAAGGTTTTTATATAAAGAAATCTCTATTGAACGGTCTCGAAAGTAGTGTAAAGTAGAATAAGAAGTCGATGGGTCGAAGTTTCCATTCGACCTTTAAAAAAATTATCTTAAACTTCGACAATGAGAAGACGGGTGCCTTTTGTTTACTGATTTTAACTTTATCCGGTGGGCAGGCGACGCAATCGGACAACCCCGATCGGACGGCGGTGTCCACGTTGACGGTGTCCAGAGATGGCTTGTTCTTGGAGAGACTGGAATTCCTCCAGGAAGTGTTCTCGGCGGTCGTGATGGAAAGCATCCCCGTCCCCTCCACCATCATTCGGCTGGCCACGAATCACATCGCCGACAAGGTCGAGCATTTTACTAGCGCTCTGCTGGAAGGTTCGAGTGTCGTGTACCTGCCGGGAGATTAGGGTTCGATCGCAGAAGCCGGCCTTCACCGACTTTTTTTTCCTCTCCTGACACGTTGAATGAAGTAGGAAAATTAATGAGATCGTCATATATTCGATGAAATTTCATCCTATCGCATCGGAAAGAACTTATCAAACAGCAACCGGCGAGAAAGGATTGCTAAAAAAAATTTACCCCTCTAAATTCATTTTTTACCCCTTTTTTCTTCAGAGCCTGATGTTCACCTTCGAGTCGGCCCCGGAGGAGAGAGGGAACATTGATTGGTTGAAGTCGTTTGCCGTGAATTCTCAGCACGATCTCGTCCTCCGGAAACCTCTCGATTACGAGCAGAGGAATCGTTTTTTATTTCGAGTCCTCGCCTCCAACGGTATCACGGTGAGATGCTTACAATTGACGTCTATACGTACCGAACATTTTTCGTTGAGAGAAACATCTTCATTGGTAAATATTTTTTATTGATAGTTTGACATTGCTTCGGATGTGGCATGATATTTAACAGAAAGAGACTATAAGCATGAGTTACTTAGAGGAAAATGAGGCAGGGAATTTTATGGGGGGAAAAAAGAACAGGAATGCATAACGGAAGGTTTTTTTTGACATACTCGAAGAACGCGAGTGCGTGGATCAACGTGACTGTACTGAACGTGAACGACCACGACCCGGAGTTCGACGCGCCCGAGTACGGGTTCGTGGTGACCTCGAACGCCCCCCGCCCCGGGATCCGCGTGGGCGGGGTGAAGGTCAAGGACCGAGATGCCGGGGATCGCATCTCCCTTCACCTCCGGGGTCCCCACGCCAGGTTCCAAGACTTCTCTCATCTTCCTCCGTGCGAGTCGGAATTCGGTCTCATGGAACTTTCCGTGTAGGTCCTTCTCGGTGGAAGAAGACGGGAGCGTTTACCTCAGGAACATGGCGGTACTCAACGTCTCGACGGCGCATTTCGTCGTCATCGCCAGGGACTCCGGCTCTCCGCCGAGACAGGTCGCTCGATCTTCCTTTCCTCGTGCCGGTCACTCCCAATTTTCAGTCTCTAATGTGCATGTTTTTCCAATTTTCTTTCTTTCACGCGGCAGCTGTTATATTCATGCTTTTCGAGGATATTAACAGATGAGTAGATGGGCTGTTAATATCTCCACAGCGGAAGACGAAAAAAGTATTCCAACGATTCATGCATTTTCTTAAGTAGGAAAATTGATCTTTCCATGGACTTTTTGAGTTAATAGCATTTTAAAAAAAACAGCGATGGAGAAACACCGGAGGGTTGTAGGGGACGAACCCTTCCATCATCATTTGATTACCCTTCCGAAATTCCTCCAAGAGTCACCGTGGATTGTGTATTGAATTAAAGGAGACGAAGAGAGTCATCCAAATGAATACGAATTCGCCGTGATTGCGCCAGGACATTTCGAGCAATGAAAGAGAAAATGAATGGAATCCACCCGAGAAGCTCGGGAGAACGCTCAGCTTTTTGGGGGAATGTTGAACACCTAGGTGCTTTAAGCACCGTTTCAAAGGAGATAGAAGACAAAACGCAACAGTTACATTCATGAAAGAAAAACCAAGTCAAGAGAACGACTTTCATGACGAACACGGATCTTCAAATTACCCTACCCCCCCCCCCCTCCCGTACCCGTGCTAAAAGGACACGTTGAAAGCCTGATGCAGAAGCGAAGCGACGGGGGTTCGTGTCAGGATTTTGGATATACGCGCTCCTTCGAGGAACGGGCACCACCGGACAGCGGTCGCAGAGGCCAAATTCTTATTCCTCTCGGGAAAAATGTCTCACGTAAATCTAGATTCCGCTGGATTCCGAACCCTGGTGTCCAAGCCATTTCCACAAACGACTCGTCTTTCGATTTCGATTTCCCTAGAAATGCTTTCAAACGAATCGTTCGCAGACTTCCATTTGTTTTTCGAGATGATGCGAAAAATATCGGATCATTTATTTTGAGGACACCATCCGCTTTTTCTACAGTTTTCATTCCTTATTTTAATCCTCGTTTCATTCGTTTCATTCCTTCCTCCCTTCTGTCTGCGTCGGCGTGGGACACCGACTCATCGTTTCACCCTCTCGATTCTCCCGTGAAAGATTTTATGTTTGGAACGATGTCCCCTCAGGCGTCGGTACCGGTGTCGGTGAGGTTCCCGTCGGGCTTGGTCAGCGGACTGGGCTGGGGCTGGGGAGTCGGGGAAGATGCCTCCTCCTGGTTGCTCATCGCTATGGGCATCCTGCTCGGCATCCTCTTCTTCACCGTCATCGCCCTCATCCTCTACATCTCCAAAAGGTAGATATATCCCGATTTATGGTCACCGTACGGTCTTTCGCAAGCTTCGTGCCTTCACACTAGGTAGCTCTGTCAGACCGGTAGATTTCCTCATTAAGGGAATCCTAAAAGTTACAAAGTTCATTTTAAAAATGTTCCCCCCCCCCCTACCCCCCCCCCCCCCGTGTAACCATCGCCAACAATGAAAGTCTACAGTAGATAAAACTGTACGAACGCTGAGCCCGAATATTTTATGCATTATTGCGTCCGTTAGGAATAGCATTGCCCCTAGACAGTCCACTTCCCTTCTCAGATAACAGACCACGAAATAAAAAGCCAAAATGTTCACCTCTACGGTGAAAAAATGCAGCATCGAAAGCTGTTAAATGCCGTTATGTTCTCGAACCAGTCGAAGTGCGGAGGAAGGGAGCGAGGACGAGAGGAGAGGAGGAAAGAAGAGGGGGGAGAACGGGTTGGGGAATCGGGTGGGACCAGCCCCCCTCATCCCAGCCTTCAACGTCTCCCTTCAAACCCCTTCCACCTCTCCTTCGCCTTTCAACCGGATTCCCTCCGCTTACAGTGGTGAGTCCGGGCCTCTCAGGACACCTCATTATTTAAAAAAAATGTGAATTCTATCGAGGTGAAACTATACTTTGTGAAACCTTTGTGCACCACTTTGTGAAAGCTTTTCCTTTCCCGGATTTTTCCTGCATTCATGTTAATTGCTTCGTTATTGTTTTTATTTTTAATTCAGTTCCTGTGCAGAAATTGTTACATTGAGTCCATACACGGTGAACCATAAGTACTTTCGTTCTCTATTACACATACCTACCAAAGTTGGGGGAATGCTAACTGAAGTTGAATTCTAGCTCACTTTATTTAGTGCAAGCGTAAGGAGTACTTTTTAAAATCTACATGGTACTTATGGCCTTGTGTATACCTTGTTGTAACTTCCGTCGCATCTCATCATTTCCGCGTTCGAATCGAAGGCTTACGATCCGTTTCGCGAGATCAGTCGGTGACCACTGTCGTAAACTTTTCCTCCCTTCGGACGCTACAGGAACGAGCAGGAACGGGACGGTGAGGAACCCGTTGGCGTTGGGAATCGGAAGGGGTCCCACTCCGCAGCCGCAACCGCAACCCCAGCCCCATCCGGGATTCTCTCGGACTCCCTCGACCACGTCTTCCCACCTCGCCAGGGGCCCCAAGGTGAGCTCACGTCTCGCTTCCTCGGACGTCTCCCACGCGGAAGCCGAAGGAATGAGGATCCGCGTCCAGAGACCCCTGGATCCGTCCGTGAGTGCCACCCCGGCTCCGTCCCCGGAAAAGCCCCCGTTGACCGTCTACTTCTGATTCCCTTCCCCGTCGCGAAGTCGAGGAACGACATCGGCCGGAAAGTCCCGAGAGATGCCTGCCCGAATCCCGACGCGTGTTCTTCGTCTGTGATACCTATCGACGACTTCGTGCCCCAGGAGTTCGCATGTTTTCTATGGATTGCCTTTTTTTGTACATGATTGGAAATAAAATTCGTTCCCGTTATAAAAAAAAGGCATTTCATTCTTAAGTCGTGCTTCCAGGGCTAAATAAGTAGTATGTGCAGTAGAAGCACGAAAGAGGCGACGCTACACCTAAGTGTTATTGGTTTCTCGTCTGTATACCACGATGAATATGGAAGGACTCCATGGTTGACTAGTGTTCTCTCGTCTCGTGCATCCTTCCCCCTTTCAGACCTCTATCCCTGGGCGACATCGGCAAGAACGACTGGAATATCTCGAAACGGATTTATTACTTCCCGTCGCGAACCCTTCATACGATCGATCGACGAGGCAAGGTTTCCTTTTTTTTCCTTGCTGGGGTTACGAAACGGTGGGATGGAACTGACGAGGCCCACCGTCCGCATCGCGTTCGTCCTCGGTGGTCAACCCACAATAATATTCTGACCGAACGTGAAGAAATCGGAGAAAGCTCTAGAAACTCGCTTGAACCCAAGGAACGCTCTTCGATAGGTCTGCGTCGAAGAATCCGCAAGACATCTAACCCTCCAAGATTAGAGAGGATTAGCGAGTGTCTCTCCCCATTCCCTGGGGTCGTTTAGCTTGTCCTCGCTCGTCAGTCTGGCCCATAGAGCGTAAATAAATGGAGGGGCCTCCGCTATGACGCGAGGCGCTGCACCCTTCCAGGCGCGGCCGCCATCTTATTGAAGTCGCACGAGCAAGGAGTTCATAGCAGACACATGGAGAGGGGTAGGGTAAAAGAGACATGCGTCTAGCGACAGACCGTCGCCAGCCAATTCTACGCAATCTGCAATGATCACGTGGAGCGTTCAAGGGGGATGATGAATGTGGAACTCATACCTGGCGCATGCACAAAGGGATCACATTCTGATTGGCCGGCGACGGTCTGTCGCTAGACGCATGTTAAAAGAGGCAACTTGTCCCGGGCTATATGCCTGGGGATCTCCACGCCGGGACCCAACTAATCACGCTATACATTTCCACGTGCGAGACCGTCCCAAGATGGCGGAAGCACTTGTAACTCTCGAAGCAGCGAAGGCCTCTCCAGAGACATCTATATACACTCTATGGTCTGGCCCAGTTAAGGTCTTCAACTCTTACGGTTTCTCTCGACTGGTGTACAAAGGATGCCGGAAAACTGGGATTCTCTCAGTTTCTCTCGAAGCAAAAAGGCGACGAAACGCCAAGCCCAGGCTGTTCCCTGGTCCTGAGGCTTCCCACTCGTTCGAGTCCATGTAAAGGTATTGAACGACGGCTATCGCATCCAACGGAGGCTTACTAAATAGACGGGTAGAGGAAAAGGGCAATTGTTCTACCTCCCCCTCGCCAGGAACCCCTTGTAATTGATTTAGTCGCTCAAAAATGAAATCTCCAGATCTGACTCGAGGAAAAGAATTAGAGGAATTTTATGTGAACTCAAGGCGCTCGAGAGGGCCCAGGGGTGGGTCCAGAAATTCAAGAGGTAAGGGGACAAACATACGAGAAGCTTTTAGACGTGTTGGGACTCAACTCATTCGAGAGGAGGTTAACGAGAGAGGGGGACCTCATCCATGAATTTAACATCATTAACCCTCTATGTTCCAATGTAACTTCAGAGTAATATACTGAAAATTGTTTTTCATCTTGTAGAATTTTATTGCCATGCCCTTGTGACTCAATGTATCGTTGAAGTCACACTCTAAATTGCGCTAATAAAGGTTAATAAAATCAATAAAGGTTTTTTGACCCTGTACAAATTATTGCTAATTAAATTGAGTCATCAGCTATGTTTTTCTCCCGTGCGAAATTAATTCAGGACATAAAAAGTTAAGGAAATCGATAACTTAGGATGTGGTAGTTTTTCCAGCTTGATGGTAACAAAAAAAAACGAGAAGGAACCAACTTGAATTGTTAGAACCTCAGGTGAGGCTCGTGTTGCGACGTGTCTTTGGTAGTGGAACGCGTGGAATGCGTTGAGTGGCGATGTAGTGGCTGCTCGGCACCGCGACTGGTTTTCATGCCTTTATGGATAAAGCAAAAAAGGAAACAATGTAAATGTAAATGACTTGGCATAAAGTGGATACGCTCCCACAAAAATATCTATATTCGAGAGGGGTAGACCTGTCTTATGATACAAGAACGCTCGACCTAGACACGGGATGTTCTCACGGGAAGAAATGCCTCTTGACGTCCCGACCCAAATCTTGAACCTTGAAAAGCTGGCAACCCTAGGCTCAATTGGGCCTTTCGGGGAGGGGCATCGGTGAGCTGACGAGGATTCAGGATCTGTCTAATTTTTGGGTGAAAAAAGTAATCCGAGGAAGATCATGGAGAGCATCCTAAGGGACCACATATTAAATTAGCAGTGCGTTCATCCGGGACTCTCAGCACGGCTTTAGGAGGCGTCGTAATTGTCTCACCAACCTGCTCGAATTCTACGATTGGGCGACGGAACAGAGAGATGAGGGGAATCCAGTGGACATCGTCTATTTAGATTTCGCGAAAGCTTTCGATACCGTTCCTCACAAGAGGTTGCAAGTTAAACTGGAGGCGCACGGGATCCAAGATAGGACGAGCGAGTGGATCGGTAACTGGTTGACGGGAAGAGAGCAACGAGTAATGGTAAATGGGGAAGCGTCGAAGGAGGTCGGGCGAGGAAGCGGTGTCCCTCAGGGCGAGGTCAAACGACCGTTTCTGTTTTTGGTCTACATTAACGATTTACATCTAGGCTTAGAGGGTAAGATGATTAAATTTGCCGACGATACCAAAATAGGTTTTCTGTAAGGGGGGAGGCGGATAGGGCCAGAGCCGAGAGAGATTTCAGGCTTTTGGATGAGTGGAGCAAGAAATGGCTCGTGTTAATAAAAGGAAGTTTAAAGTTCTCCACGTCGGTCAAAATAACGGTAGGTCTCTCGACGCGTTTGGCCTAGATAAACTGGGGGAGGCAAACGGAGAGAGAGATTAAGGATTAGTTTCTATCAACGAAGACCTCATGTTTTCCTCGCACGCGCAAGCGACGGTGGCTAAATGTAACAGGATTCTAGGATTCATCCGTCGTTCAGTTGCCAGTAGGAACTCGCACGTTATTCTTCCTTTGCATGTGGCGCTGGTAAGACCCCAGTTGAAACATTGAATCCAGTTGTGGAGACCTATAAATAAGGGTGAATTGTTGGCGCTCGAGGGTGTACAGAGGAGGGCCACAAGAATGATGAAGGAGGTCAGGGGACTTCCGTACGAGAAGCGTTTAGAAGTGTTGGGACTGTACTCGCTCGAGAGAGGGTTAAAAAAGGGCGATCTCATCCAGGCTCAGTGGCGGTTCGTGGTTCATGCTGTAGGGCAGGGGTGCACAACTCAAAAGACTGTGAGGGCCACTTGCGACTTTTAATCACATACCGCGGGCCGCAGTCTGGCTGACCATAGCTGTAGCCAACAAGGCAGGAGTCATAGTAGCACTTACAACGCCACCAGTCATGGCGGGCCGCTAGCAAGGACCTCGCGGGCCGCGGGCAGTATGTTGTGCACCCCTGCTGTAGGGTAAGCCAGTGACGTAGCCAGGGAAGGGGTGGGCTGTCCTGGCTCCCACCCACTGTTCCCCCTAGCTTACATAAAGTTTTTTTTTGGCCTTCATTGGCCCTCCGAAAAAGGAGACTCGCTCTACACTACTGGGTTAAGCCCAGGATGCCGAGAAAATATATGTGACGGAAACCCGGAAAAGCGCTCCACTTGAACGAAGTGGAGCGCTCTGACAGCCAAGAATAGAGGACGCCCTAAGCGATTCAAGTTTTTCTTGGGACAAGTCGAACCTGAGCTGAGTCGTTCATTTACTTGTCACCGGGAGAGCAGACTTGACAATCTTCGCTCTGCCACTTCAACATCTTAGGCTTCGTCTGTGTGAGGCTTGTTACCATATAGCCTGTTCTTTCTCCTTCACCATTAGTTCTTATTGCAACCTTCATTCGTCGAGTCGTGAGCTTCTGGAGTGGGATAAGTTTATTCCCTTCTTTCCAGCAACTATCATTGCTTTGAATTGCTTCTTAAATATTAATTTAAAGTAGGGCAGTCAATCGATTAAAAAAAACTAATCGATTAATCGTGAGCCATTTTTTAAATCGATTAACTCTTTCATGGTACATAAATTGTACCACCATCTTTTTAAATTGAAACATGGTGGTACAATTAATGTACCACCTATTTTGACACCAGAATGAGTGATAACATACACAAAATGTACTTCAGCACTGACAAGAAATGAGGAACGAAGATGACAAGAAATTCTTTAGGCGTCTCTTTTCATCTTACCCCGTTCGTCTCAAAGCTGTCAGACACACAGCCAAGGTTCACGCAAATTACTAGGAATACAAGTTTAGATTCGAAAATGAATGCTCTTTCTTATGATATATGAGTTTTTTTCCTAGCTCTTATAGTTTAGGCTGTGGAGGGGGGTGGGGGGTGGGGGCTATCTATGTGCAACACCAGGTACAGTGACACTTCATTGTGCGGAGATTTAAAGATTCATTAACGATTTACAGGCAACACAGGATGGAAGAGCAAAAATAGGAGCAAACAAGGAATAGTTAACGGGTTTCACACATTCGTTTCCACTTTTCTCGCCTGCCCCCGGCTTTCCCCCTCCCTCGGTCACCTTCCAGGGGCTCCCACAGACGTTCGCCGGTGCACTTACACGTACGCCTCTCACTCCCCAATCTTTTCATCATCCTCTTACCTGCCTCTCCAGTCCCATGCCCCAGTCCAACTCCCCTTTTCCATCTGTGCTTTCCCTTGCAGCTTCTTCATTACGACTTTCTTTTCCTCATTCGCATCCAGTGACTTTTCGGACGCTCTGCCCTAGGCCGCTGTTACCTTAGCCCAGGGGTCGGGAACCTTTTTGGGCATGTGAGCCATAAAGATTGAGCTAAGTGCTCGTGAGCCAAAAGATTTTCAAAACAACAGATGCTCGAGAGAGGGTTAAAAAAGGGCGATCTCATCCAG